ACAGCTCATCAGCAAAACAAAATTTTGTTTCAAATTTTTTATCAAGAAAAAATATTTATATGGATACGTTGTTGTGTTTACTTTGTTTCTCAACTAAGCTGTATCTCTCTTCGGTCCCCTTCTTTTTCTTTGCTTTGCTATGCGTACGTGTATAGACAGGAGTTTAAACCCCTCTAATTAGATATATGAATATATGTATATGTTTATTCTCGTGTAGCGAGAAAGGGTTTATTGATTTATTTTCTACGGTTTTAATAATAAATGAATTTTAAAAAGATAAATTCTCTGTTTTGTATCGAGGCGCTGAGATTTCTTACTCCTGTATATATATGTACATGTATACATACACATACCAGCCCCAAAGAGAAACACAGGCCCCCCATTGTACTTTTTTTTTTTTTATTCTTTTGCATCCACCAATGCATTGATATTTGGCTTAATTAATTTATAATTATATTTTAAATGATGTAATTGTTCTTTTTTGTTGCTTTATAACTCTCCTCTTATTTCAACTACCACCGCACGGGCCCTCCACTGAGAAGGGCTGGCCGTGTTCTTCATCGGCAGAAGCTGTATAAAAGAAAAAAAAAAAGAAAAAGAAAAAACTAGAAAAAACAAGAAAAATACAAAAAGAGAGGCAGAAGAACTCCTGCGGAAACTCTACCGTAGGGGGCTCTTCTCTCTCTTCCCTTCTCTCTCTATCTTTATCTCTGTTGCTCTTTCTCTTTTTTTTTTTTTTTTTTTTTTTTTTTTTNTTTTTTTTTTTTTTTTTTTTTTTTTCTTTCTCCTTCTCTTTCTCTTTTCAATTCCTTTTTGTTTTTTCTCTCTTTTTGCGAAAATGAGTTCAGGGATGATGTTCTGCCCGGAATGGTGAGTATATGAATAAGAGGGTTTTGAGTCTAGGGTTTAGGTTTCACATGAGGGTTTAGGGTTTAGGGTTTAGGGTTTGTATGGGGGGTGTTTATAGTTGTTTTTTTGCATGCAGCAACAATATGTTGCAACCAAAAGAAGACCGGCAGCGGCAGCAACTGAAATTTCTCTGCCGCCGTTGCGACTTCTTTCGGTATGCTGAGGGAACATATGAAGAAAACTGCGTAGACAGGATAAACTTTAGTTATAAATCAAAGTGAGTTTGTTTCTCACTTTGTTTTTTTTTTCCTTTTATTCTCTCTTTATTTCTTCTTCTGTTCCGCCTGATATAGGTAGATAAACACCAAAGCAAGCAACAGAGTGATGGTTCTGTGCTACTGGTTTCTTAGCTGCTTTTAGGATATATGAAATGTTTCTTCTTTTTTATTTGTTGTTTAGTGAGTTTGCATTTGTTTCAGTTTTTTGTTTCTGTAGTTTTTTTCTTTCTTTCTGTATGTATGAGGCAGATAAGTGAATG